TCTGAGGTAAAAGCTGCTATCATCAAGCGAGCCAAAACCCGTGAAGAACACAAGTCGGCCTTCGTGGATCTTGCCTGGATACCAGCCACATCAGTTCAAGTTGAGAGACTCTTTTCACTCGTGAAGTGCACTTGGGTACCTACGCAAGCGAATGAGCGCGGAAACGCTGGAGTCAATTCTGTACCTGCGCATGAATTGGGATCTTGTCACGAACGAGATAGTTTCTAAGTCTATCAAGACTGCACGAGAGGAAGATCTAGAAGATGAAGAGGAGTGTGACAGCAACTTGTAGGGAAATTAGTTCACGGTTTGATTCTTCGTTTTCAATAGTGGGTGGGGACCATAACAATCAATATTGTTTTCAAACAATACGATAGTATTGTAATAACAATCTATATTTACCGATCCCTGCCGTCAGACCCTCCTTAAGCGCAAGTTGGAGCACATGAGCGCGGTAACGTATTTGAACCACTTTTCACTAGGAACCGCTTGTTGCATCAGGGTTTGGAGACGAGTCTAGTGCTGCTGAAGGTACTAGTGTTTGGGTTTTGGCTGAATAACCCGTCTCTCAGAGTCTCGTTAAGCTTGCCGAACGTGGAACCATTGTTGCTTGCTTTATTTATTATAATTGCCCACAGTTTTGATAGAAGATACCCACCCCATTGCACGCAAAGTGTCCATTAGATAAACAACTAGTCGTGGGTCAGAATGTGGATACTCTACTCTCGTAAATCCAACCGTGACAGACTTGATGAGCCAGATATCAGTGGTCCCGTTCAATGTTAGCTCCAAGTACCCTTTTTTAACTGCTGATGTCCACATGTCGGTTGTGCCAGCTACGCGGTAGGATACAGTTTCTTGGAGTAATGCGTGGCGCGTCGAATTCTTTTCACATTTTCAGCGCTGAGTGATTTTTTCGAACGGTTTTTTGGGTTGGCGGAGTATACTCCGACTCGAGTATATGGTAGAACTGTCGAAACTCTTTCTTTTCCACCAGATTAAACGGGAGAGCATTGACTACACGCAAATCAACGAGCTGATTGTTGGGGGCCGCCTTGTCAAATGTGCACTGTTTCACAAACCGCTCGAACCCATACGATAGTAAGCTTGTCTGTTTGTCGTCCCTTTCGTCGCGGTAATTTCCACTGGAATACACGTCACGATGATCACTCTTAAGGTGACAACAAAACGTCGTGTGTGCGAGTGATGACTATTGCCGAGCTGAGTCCGCTGGGCACACTAAGCAGGTAAATCTCCCCTCGTCGTCCTCACGAATGGA